TCTCTTTCTTCTTCTTTTTGTTGTACTGACTACCATGTACCAAAGCGTCGGCTTTCTAAGTTTTCTCCTTTGTCCACGGCAATGGCTACACTAGAACCACGATGATGACAATCTCATTCAGCAGTTGAAGCACTTTGAGTTTTTAGAGGGGGAGAGATATAAAAGTTGTGAAAGGGAAGAGTAGGGAATGTGAGGGATATGGGAGAGGGAAGAGTGGGATGAAGTTTTCTCATATTTTTCAACCCTCTTCTTTTCAAATTTTAGGCAACAATTAACAAAGGCATTCCTGTCTTTTGCTTTTTGCATTTAATTTCACTTTGCCCCCAAGTCCTACAGTGAAATTTTAGAATGTTTTAGGGGTTGTTTAAAATAAATTGGCTATTATGGTCCTTAATTGAAAATTTCCCAAATTAATATGATTGATTGCAAAGGTTAAAAGGGTTTTGTTTTAATATATGTTATTGGTAAGGATATTTTAGGGAAGACAATACCTATTTATTACAAATAATTAACTTAATTAATTTTTTAAGCATGAGGAATTAATTATCTAACTCTTATATTAAGAATCAGAAGTAATATTATATATATTATAGCAAAAATTTCTCAAAAAGACACTTAAATAACACATTCTTATTTGGTCACTAGATTTGTCAAACTTCTTATAAGGTTGCATGACTCTAAATTAACATGTGTCATATCACATTAAAATTTTATAAAATGACTTTAATGTCCCTTTTGTTTGAAACCAAAAGAGAATTCTAAATTAGCATGTTTGATATCACGTTTCATTATAAGATGAGAAGTACTATTTTCGGTCCTTAATATAAGAGCTCATTTAACTTTTATTTTAGCTTTAAATATAAAATCTCAATCCATCTTTTATCTCATATTTATCTATTTTTTCTCAAGATAATCTCCGTAACAATGGTAGTTCTAGTCAATACACTTGATTAACAAAGACATTTAGGAAAAACAACATCTATTTATTACAAATAGCTAACTTAACTAGTTTTCTTAATTTAATCAAATTAGTCGACTAGCTTTTATATTAAGGACCAGATGCAGTATTCTTTTTAATAAAATCTTTCCATATCTTCTTTTATTTTATAAAAAAAAAAAAGAGGACAGAAGATGACATATAAAAGAAGAAAATAAGAAACAAAATTTAAAAAAAAGGAGGAGGAGGAGGGGTGCAATGCAGCCTTGGGGAATTGTGAAGGGTGGGAGGAAATAATAATAATTAAAAAAGGGCCAATGTAAACTTTGGTTTCTTAAATTTTCTTTCATTTTAGTTTTGATCTCTCAAGTTTCAAATCATAGGTTTTAGTCCCTCAAGTTTTCTTTCATTTATAATATTGGTTTCTATAATCAAATAAAAACTTGGACTATTTTGCCCTATAATTTGAAACTTAAAAAATCAAAATTAAAATGAGAACAAGCTTGAAAGACCAAAAATTATATTAACTTTAGAAAAAAAAAAGAGTAAGTGAAGGCAGGGAAATGATTGAGGCGGTGTCTGAATAAAAACCAAATTGTGATTTTAAAGATTATTTTACAATATATGAAATAAATATGTGGAGAAATTTATTCTGATTTATTCAAAAATATTTTTAGAAGGCATTTTAGGAACATTCAAACCAATTTCACTTTGCTGAGTTGCTCCTGTTAAAAAAATAGTCAGTGTGTCAGACAACAGTTGTCTGAGTGCCTGTTTAGTTGGACTTTTCAGGGGTGAAAATTAGCTTAAACTGGGTAGAAGCTTGATTGGAAATTTGGATGCTATTTGGATGGGCGATTGGGCAACTTGGCTTTTGTATGAAAAGTTACAATAAGCTATAAGATAAAATTAATAGCTTATGACTTATAGCTTTTGAAACATGGAGAGAAAAAAGATTAAGAAATTTATTAACTCCTTTTGTTCTTATTATAAGCCTCAAATAACTAATTTAGAGATAATAAAACATCAGTTAAAATTAGTTAAAAGTAATAAATAAGTTAGAAATATACTTTTATTTTTAAATATGTTCATAGAAATATAATTTTATTTTTTCATGTTTCATTTTATATTTAAAACATTTTTGGAATAAAAGTCATTTTTGTCCCGGAAGTTTCCATAAAGGAGCACTGGCTGCCTGGATGTTTTTTTTTGGAGCAATGTTACCCTGGACATTGCAAAATCGTAGCAATCTTAGCCTACCCTAACAAACTTAGATGGTCAACGTTTGCTGACTAAAATATGCTGATATGGCTTTGCCCATGTAGCATCCACCTCACCATTCTTTCCCAATTCAGATTTATAAGCTAGGAAAAAAAATTTTAAAAAAAAAGTCACACCTCTCTCCTGGGCTCTTTTGCATCCCTCGGTTAAATTTCTCCCTCCATCTTCATCAAACACTAGCATGGCTCCTTCCATTCTCAGTCGCAGATGAATCTAAATTTCCAGTAGCCTGAAAAGTATAAATAGGTGCCAAGGAAATATGAAGAACCGAAATCAAAACTCATTTAATCCCATTCCAACACCAAAAGAGGTTAACATCTGGAATCTAGGGAAAAAAAGAAAAGAAAAGAAAACCAATCTAGAAAAAACCAAGCCCAAAGCTCGATCATCAAGCCAAAAAGAACCCCAAAGATCTGAAAAAGAAAAAGAACCAGATTGAAACATCAAGCCACTAGAAAAAAATTAAATCGAGCACCAAATCACCAATTAAACTTGTACTTATCAATATGAAAAAATTAAAAAAAAAAAGTGGAAGGGGAGTTTCATGAACACCTAGTAATTGTGGAGAGGGAAAGGGAGAGGATTTGAACTAGTTTTGCTTGTATATACACACTCACAAGGCAGTGTTGCAAACAGAGGAAGAAGAAACGCAATTAATAGAAGAGTGCTGAGACACACCCTCAGCAGTGACGGATGAATGATGGTGAGAGGAAAGGATTAAAGCTCTTGCCCTACTCATGAGACCCATAGCAACTAGAGAATGGCCGACTCCAAAAAATGGTAGAATGAGAAGACATGAAATTGGTTTGGCTGGAGAGTGAACAAAATTGAAAATAGGGTTTGCACAAATGATATTCATTCATTTCACTTCCACTCGAGAAAAATTAAATTAGGGATTTGAAGGACAGAAATTTGAAAACTCAAAACCCAGAAGATAGAGCAAAAGAGAAATAAAAGCACCCAACATTGCTTTTCACGTCTTCTCTGCCCCTTCAGATGGTTGTTGGAGGCTGGTTGTGGCTGAGAGGTGAAGAGAAGCAGAGAGGCAGTGGTGATGCTTGAACCTTGTAGCTTTGTTGTGTCTTCTCCGCCCCTTCACTGTCATTTTCAATCCCAGTCACTGACACTTTTGTTTCAAGGGTATGTTTGGTACTTTATATTTTTTTTAAATTTTTTTAATTATGTAGCATAATATGTTGTTAATACGTGGAATAATATCCCATCTGACAAACTTCACCTTAGCATATTTTAGTCAACAAACATTGACCGTCTAAGTCTGTTAGGGCAGGTTGAGATTGCTATGATTTTGCAACTTTCGGGGCAACATTGCTCCAAAAAAAACTTCCTAGCAGCCAGTGCTCTTTTGTGAAAACTTTCGGGACAAAAATGACCTTTATTCTAATATTTTTTATGATTTCTCTAAAGTTTTAAAATTTAATTTACTCATTAAATTTGACTTTTTCATATTAAATTATTTTAATTTAATTTCATTGTATTATGTGAAATTATTTTTTCTAATCATGTTTTATTATTTATTAAAACTCATACTTATTTTAGTTAATCTACAACCAAACTTACTTTTACTTAACCATAATCCAAACAACCCTTTATCAATCTCATTTTTGCAAATAGGGGTGGAAATAGGCCAGGCGGCTTATCAAGAGCCTATAGCCTGGCCTGTTTTTCAAAAGAGACAGACTTAGGCTTGTTTGAAGGCTTGTTTAATTAAATAGGCCAGGCTTAGAGTTTCTAAATGGTCTGTTAAGCCTAGTAAGCCGGCCTGAGCCTGTTAGAAGTTTGTAATTATAATATATATAAAAAATTAGTTAATGACACTATAGTTAATGTGTTCTTTTAATTTATTTTTTAATTTTAATATATAGTTAATAGATTAATCCTTCCTTACATTTTGAAGTTTAATTGATGAGTGAAGATAAAAATATAATTTAAAATAATAATATCAATAAATAATGTGATCTTTAAATCTTAAAAATATAAATAAAATAGGAAAGAAAAATTTTCTTCTAAGAATGATAAATTAATTAACTTATGTGTTATGTTAATAAATTATGATGCCTTCTTTGTTTGTTGTGAAATCAATAGTTTTTTCTTTTTATTTATTTATCTTAATTTTAATTTCTTTAGTGTACTTAAACATAATCTTGTTTTAAATTTTAACATATAATTACAACTATTTTTTAATAATATCCTTATAAATTGTAATTAAGATTTAAAATAGTACTTATAATACTAAAATTTAAATAAAAGACAAGACTAAAAAACTAATTATTATGTACGCTTTTTTTTTAATCTTAGCTTTTTAAAAAAAAAAATATAATTGTAATTTGAATTTTTTAAAAATACAAGTTTTTAACAGGTTTCAAATCAAGCCAGGTTTTTATATAGGTCAAGTTCAGGTTGAAAAATAAGCCTGTAATAAGCTACAGGCCAGGTTCAGGCTAATAGGCTACAAAACAGGCTTGGCCTGTTAAGAGTAAAGTCTAGCCTGTCTTGTTTCCATCCTTATTTGCAAACTAATTTTTCTGAAATTCAATACAAATATAATTCAACTTATTTAATTTACTTTTTACTCAATTTTATTCTTCTATAAATCAAATTGATAATAAGTTACTTTTTCAATAGCCGATGTAAACGACCCCTAACAAGAACGATTTCTTTGTGTTCTTGAACTCGCTCAGCGCATGAACAACTTCAGGTGTAGTATTTCTTCAAAGTGCAGCGTCTTCTTATTATATGTTTACGGGGTCCCCGTCAAAAAGCCTCTAATCATTCATTCATTCCATTCAGTGTGGCCATTCCCTTGCGAACTGGCGTTTCATATCCAAAGGTTCGGTATAACTTCTACACGCCGCTCGAACTTGCGTCAGACTGCTTTCGGCGGCAGATGATCTTCCTGCTCAGAGTGAACCAAGGTCGACGGCCGCGAATTCCATGGCGAAGCGACACCGTTCTATATTCGAACTCCAGCCTGAATTTTTTCACTCCTGTCGCCTCCTTGCTTCCCCTCGATTGTCCGCTTCCGACAATCTTCAGAATTGCTACAACTCAGTTCACGAAACCGTTGACCCTATTGAGAAGGACGCTGATGGCTTCCAAGACGTCGTTTTTTCAGTGCCCAGATGGACTTGCAATACTTGCAAGGCTCAATTTGACTCCCTTCAAGACCAGCGTTTGCATTTCAAATCGGATGTTCATCGTTTCAATGTAAGAGTGATTCTCATTGCGTTATTTTATTTTCGAAAATTTTAATTATCAGTATTTACTTCCAGAATCCTCTTCCCGATAATTTGTTTTGGTAAAACCTACATTTCGTGTTTTTTTTTTTAAATACAAATCTACATATTTCCCCCTTGAAGAACATAATTCAAAATTTATTGATTGTTGTGGGGATTTGCAATTGGGTTCTATATGTTTGTTTTGGGAGCTTGATAGGTATTTGTTACTTCAAAGTGGTAAAGTTGCCCTTATTTGTGGGAAAAAAATTATCTCTAATTTTTGTTAAAAGACGACGGTAGTTTTTCTCTTGCCATTTAATTCTCATTTAATGTCTGTGTTTGGCTGCATTGAATATTGATCATAGGTGAAGTTGACAATGGCTGGAAAGAGTATTGTTAAGGAAGAAGATTTTGGGCTGTTGACATCTGATTCTATTAAAGACTATGATGTTTCGAGTATATCAGGATCAGAAGATGATGATGATGGTGATGATGATATTGAAACTCGGAGACAAAATGTTCGTGACAAATTAAGTGAAAGTTTTAGGCAGAAGTTAATTATCTGCCTTCCGACAGGGGAAAGAGTTTCTATTTGGAAGTGCTTAGTAATGAACATGGGTGACAATATACTGAATGAGAACGAAGTGATTGAGAGGTTGAAGTCCTTGACTCTTGAGCCCAGGAATAAATCTCGCTTGAGAATTGTGCTGCTTGCATCTGGTGGGCACTTTGCAGGTTGTGTGTTTGATGGTGATGAGCTTGTGGCTCACAAGACATTCCACAGGTTAGAAATTTAGCACACATGTCTCTTGATATTGGATGGCATGGAAATATAATTACAATTTCTGGTCTATACTTCCTTGAGGCAGTTTGTGGGGCAAATATTATCTGTGTATATGTGAGTGCATACGCTATCATACAACCATGCACAAGGACTTGTGTATTGTAGTTATCAAAACTAAGCTTTTGCCTGACTTGATTATGATTGGTAAGTTTGTCTGAATGTGAACTCAGTATGCCATTGTGCATTAGTGTGTGAAGATACGCTAGGAGTTTGATCAGTTAGTAGTAACCAGTTGTGTGTGCCATTTATTGTTTGTGACACAATACCACATCTGCATTCTTATTTTAGAAAGTCACATAGGAGTGCTATGCTATCCCTTGAGAAAGAAAGAGAAATCTTTGGAAGTCAACGTTAGTTATAGTCCATGATTGTAAATTGACTGATTCGTGGTCTATGGCCCAATATGGAAACTTCCACTCTGCACTATTGCAGTTCAGCCTTCTCCATGTCTTCTTAGCTTTTAGCATTCATGGTTGTGTTTTTGTTATTTTGATTGATTTCTAGTATAAATAGATCTTTAGGACTTTGCTTGATTTGGACTTTTGAAGTTATTTTTCTATCAGCATATCTGGGAGATCGATTGTCAACATACAAATTATGTAAATGAATGGATTAGGTTACAAAGTTTAATTATATCGTATTTGTAAATATCTGAGTTCTCAGTTCTTACATCCAAATGATAATAAAAACTGCCGGAGTATGACCTAAGATGCTGAAAATAGTGGAAATGAGTCAAACCACATGAACAAACACATGCTCACGCACATAAGTTGCTTAGCTGTTCTAGAGGCTAGGCTCTCCCAATTGTAGTCACTCGTTGATTGCTTAACCCTCAGTAAACCCTCCTTCACAAAATGCATTTCACCACCACCCCCTTCTCCTCTCTTCTGCACCTTATGGCCGTTATGTTAGTGACGCACTTGGCCCATTAGTTATGGGCCCATCAATTTACTTTCCTTGCTCTTCCTAGCCATCATTTCATTATGTTCACTTGCCCTTATGGAACCGATAAAGCCTGTTGATCCATCATGATCACCACCAAAATAACTAATTCCTGTCATGATTCTGCCAACCCACCTATTAACCTGAAGCTATACTTAATTTCGTAGCACTATAATCTTTTGCTACCCAATTTGAAACATTTGCTGTTTTATCTGCTGAAGTAGCTGGCCCAAAAGCCAATACACGTAATATTGGAAAAAATTCAATAATAGCAGAAACCAGTTTCGGATTGTGATATAGAGAAATCTCACTGTTCATAGGATAAGAATTGAAGATCTTTGAAGTTGGATTTTAAAAGCAAAAACTTGTCTTATCTACTACCAAAACTGTGAAGAATTAAATTACGAGATTGTGGCTATGTACCTAGAAGGTGATGCGCTTTATATATTTTCTAGACCAACATTGAACAAACTATCTTGTATAAGGAAAAACTGCTGAATGTGATAGTTACTTTTGCTGCCCGCACCTCTCAAAGGAAAGCAAGGAAGATACATGAAAATGGGAAGCTACTTTCGAATGACTAGAGAGTTGACTGTTGGAAGTCACTATAAGAAGCTAGGCCCAAGCCCACTTAAGTTAGATAGTTTATATGCAATCTTTGTTATTTAATGTTAGTTTTGAATTTTGAATTCAGATTCTATCTTTCCATGATTTTCGCATATCTGAATTAAGTTCAGGGATTTGATTAGATTGTAATAATTAGCTGAGATAGGGTATGTGTTTAAACCTTAATTCTCTCTATATATGTACTGCCAGAACATTTCAATGAATAATAAGAAAAGTAGACTATTTTCTGCTCACTAAATTTCATGGTATCAGAGCCATGGCTGCCGAAAATCTCAAATTCGGCAGGTTCCAGGCTTTAAACACAGAAAGAGAGGCCAGCGCCTTTTCTGAAGCAAGTCCCAACCCTAACTTACTGTTAGCGCTGATATGGGCCTTGGCCCAAATTAACCTAATTAGGTTTAGGTTTATTTACTTAAGGAAATTAGAAGATAGGCGGCAGGAGTTTTTAGTTCCCTGATTCTAGGAGATTTTATTTTATTTTTCATTGATTCTGTATCCTATGAGTGATTCGGTCAAACAGGGCGCATGCCTATATATATGTACCTCTCTGTTTTCATGAAAGATGAATAAAACGAGCATTGAATTGCACATGGTATCAGAGCTACCATGATCCGGTTTGGATTCGGACTGGATAATGACGGTCAAGGTGGCATGAACTCCTCGGCCTTGAATGCCTCTACAACGTCGAGTGATCAGGGTTCAGGCCACCAAGTGCCGAATGATGCTACCTCCTCGTCAATCACCATTCATCGACTGAATGGCCAGAATTATCTCCAATGGGCTGCGGGCGTCCGTCTGTTCGTGACTGGAAAAGGGAAGCTGGGCTATCTCACCGGCATCGAGAAACGACCTCCGTCCTCTGACCCGAAGCTTGCAAAATGGGAAACAGAGGATTCAATGATTCAGTCATGGCTTGTAAACTCAATGACCACAGACATAAGTGCAAGCTTCTCCCTATTCAAGTTTGCACAGGAAGTTTGGGAGGCCGCACGAGATATGTTTGCCTCCCTCAATAATTGTGCTGCGATCATGGAGATTGAGGCGGCCTTGGATAAACTAAAACAGGGCACTTTAACTGTTACAGAATTTTGGACGAATCTGGTGATATTATGGCAACAACTGGATCTGTATGACATGTATGAATGGGCTTGTTCTACTGATGCCTAGCTCTATGCCAAAATCAAGGAGGAGAAAAGGATTTACAAGTTTTTGCTGAGTCTGAATCCTGTTTTTTGATGAAATCAGGGGACGCATTATGAGCTTTGAAAAGCTTCCTTCCCTACGAGAAGTATTCTTCATGGTGAAACAAGAAGAGAGCAGGCGAAAACTTACTGCCTCTGTACAACCACAACAGTTGGTGTCTGACTCTAGTGCTATGTATACTAAGGGTAGCCAGTCAAATGATGGAAAAGGGAGGAAAAGTAACAGATGGTGTGATCACTGTCAAAAATTAGGACATACCAAAGAGGTGTGCTGGAAGCTTCATGGGAAACCAGCAAACAGAGGCAGAGGGAAAAGTGACTCACGGGTCAACACAGCTAAAAGCAACTCTGATTATGGTAATAAACTCAGTACTGAGGAAGTTGAATGTCTCCGAAGAATCTTAGAAAAATATGAGACTAAGGAGCAACTAGTTGCCTCCGGTAATATAGCCTACACAGGTAATGTCATTCTTGCCCTAAAAGCTAATATTCACCATGAGAATATGTGGATAGTTGACTCTGGCGCCACAGACCATATGACCGGAAATCCAAAGCTGATTCAAAACCTAAAACCGTGCACATTCCCAATGTTTATAAAGGTAGTTGATGGAAAATTTTTAAAGGTTCATGGTATCGGTGAAACATGTCTCTTTGAAAGCCTAATTCTCAAGACCGTTTTATATGCACTAGATTTAAAGTGTAGCTTGATATCTGTGAGTAAAGCTACCAGATTTTAACACTGTCATGTTGATTTTTTCGCTACTCAATGTTTGTTTCAGGACTTGGAGTCGGAGAAGACGATTGGCAAAGCTAGGATGCTAGAGGGATTGTACTGTGTGGATGCTCAACAACCGTGGATTCAACCAAGTGCTTCCAGTTTTGCTGCTGAAAAATGTCTTTCTTCTAATTTTACTGATAAAGAAGTGTTATTATGGCATTATAGGTTAGGACATCCTAGTCCAAAGTATATGTCCAGATTGTTACCTGATTCTTTGAATAAAAATTTTTCATATCTATCCTGTGAAGTTTGCCAATTGTCTAAGCATACTAAAGGTGTCTACACACCCCACTCTCATCAATTTACTCAACCTTTTTCCTTCATTCACAGTGACATTTGGGGTCCCACTCGAACTCCCTCTCTAACACATGCTAAATGGTTTGTCACGTTCATTGATGATCACACACGCTTAACCTGGGTGTTTCTAATGAAAGATAAATCTGAGTTACCTGAAAAATTAATAAATTTTCACAAACTGATCTTAAACCAGTTCCATACCTCTATTCAAATCCTTCGGAGTGATAATGGGAGAGAATATATGGGAACATATCTACAAACCTACCTCAAACAACATGGGATTGTTCATCAAACGAGCTGTGTGAATTCCCCACAACAAAAGGGCACAGCCGAAAGGAAAAACCGTCACCTTCTTGAGGTAACCAGATCCATCATGCTAACACAGTGTTCCAAAATACTACTGGGGGGAAGCCATACTCACTGCTGCACACTTAATAAACCGTTTACCTTCCAAAACACTGAATTTTGATACACCTCTCCAAACCCTAGCTAAAACCCATCCAAATTCCTACCTTCACAGTCAGATTTCACCTAAAATTTTTGGGTGCATTGCTTATGTTCACAACGATAATGGCAGTAAATTAGACCCTAGAGCCTTCAAGTGTATCTTTCTCGGATATTCATCCACCCAAAAGGGCTACAAGTGTTATTTTCCTCCCTTAAAGAAATACTTTGTGACCATGAATGTGACTTTTGATGAAAACCACAGTTATTATCCAAAAACACCCATTCAGGGGGAGAGTAGTGAGGAATGGGAGTTTCTTCAGCGCAAAAAAAATACTATATCAACCACTCCTACTTCTACTACCCCTATTTTCACCACCTCACCATCACAACCTCAACCTACACCAGAACCACCACCAGAACTCCCTGAAAACTCATTCTAATCTGGACAGCAGGCAGAACAACACAGCAACAGGTGATACAGATGCAGAGTGTGGTGAGTTGGAAATATATAATGCCGACACTGATGCAGTCTATGAGCAGTCCACTTAGGACAATAGAACCGAAGCAACTCAAGACTCCTCTAGCATCGAGCACCGCCAAAACTCAATTCCTACTTTAGGTCCAAACGACCTTGGGTGGCCTATTGC